TGACATGTTAGTGTTTGACGTTCGAGACATCAAATAGCGGCAAATGGAAGGAGTTGCCTCCTTAAAGGGTGCTATAGGGTTCTATATAAACCCTAAACCCCAAACCCTAATTTAAGAGGGTTTGGCGAGGCAGGCGTTTGGCGGGATTGAGGTCTGCGCTTGGGCTTGCTCCAAAATCGGGAGAGGCTCGGAGATGCAAGGCGACTCCAGGAGGCCAAGGAGAAAACTAGGCGTTCGAAATTCCGGAGGCCGAGGTGTAAGTAGAATAAGACCCGTCTCACCCGTCTCTTAGTGTGTGGGGCTTGGTTTGGATTCATGGCTGGTTCTGGGCATCGGTCTGGCGGCCCAGGTCGGCGGCGAGATTCTTCAGTGGTCAAGACCTTGGTGCTTCTGTGAGCGTTGGTACGGGTTCGGTGATTGTAAGAGCAGTTCAAAACGCGACGTGGGAGGGCTGTGCGAAGGGTATCAGCAGGCTGAAAATCCGTCCCTACTGAAGTTTTCGGAGGCGAGCCATGTCAGTGCCCCTGATCTCGCAGCTGCTGTGTCCGATCCGTGGTCCTTTGATCCAGAATCAGGGGCCGTACCCGTCGGACCGGGATGTTCGCCGTTATGTGGCAGCAATGTACGCCGAGTACTGCGAGTATCGCAGACGTTTCTGTGGCCGCATGCAGGACTCGGTGACGGCGTTGCTGGCGCAGTTCGAAGCAGAAACTCAAGACAACACCGCAGCGGAATTGCTCTGGTTGCTGGAGTACCACTATGTGCGCATCCCAAGCGCACGTACACAGGTGCGGGAGTTGTTTTTGGTAATCTTCGAATGCACGGTCGAGGAGTACATGGAGCACATGGCTCGCCAAGGCTTCGGGACTAAGGACGTTGAGATCTTCGGCATTTTTGTTGAGGAGGATTGGTTTTGAGGCGGGCTGCGTGTCTGAAATTCATAATTCGTTGCGAGCTTCATCTCGTTGGAGGTGGCCAGAAGGCTGACCTTCGGCCGCTGTGTCACTGTCGCACGGATGTAGGCTGCAGGATGACCGTGGTACCGCATGGACGCTGTCTTGCGAAAGTGCGAGGCTGCGGGCAACCATATGGCCGAGGCTGTGATTTCCTATCGAGGTTCCAGACAAAACGAGCTATCGACGCGTGTTGTCTTGGGTGATCTTAGAAGTCGCTCGCCCCTCGTAGCCGTCTCTTGCTCGTGCTGTCGGCTGTGTCGGCAGGCTCGGAGATGTTGCGACTTCGCGCTCTGAGCGGTGAGCAGCTCTTGGTCGTGGATCCGCGGGAGCAGGCTCCCTTGCAGAGTGTCTTGGATACGTTGTATTCTATCATGGCTACTCGTCTTCGAGTGGTAGAGACTCGCCTGAACTTTCATTCCATGGATGAGACTCGGCCGCTCGACCTATTGGATTCTTGGCAGGATTCGGAGCGTTTGCTGGCAGGCCACGATTTGGATGTTCTCATGCTAATGCGACCATGTCGAGCCGGCGGCGAGGACGAGCTAGCCTGGGCCATAGAGCGTGGCCACTGGTTCGAGGTGGATCGGCTGCTTGCAAGCTGGGTGGATCCGAACGTTGACTTGTCGCATCGTCGCGGTCTGAGGGAGCAAGGGTGTTATACTCCGCTTTGTCTCGCTTCGATGATTCCTACCATGCGCCACCCCATAGTGGAGAGCCTTCTTGCCTCAGGAGCTACGTTGGAGACGGAAGGAAGCACGGCTCTCTGCTGCGCCTGCAGCGTGGACAACGTGGAAGTGGCGACCTCGTTGATCTCTGCTAGAGCAGATGTCAATCGCCGAGACTGGGACATGGACTCTCCTTTGCTCATTGCCGCGTCGATGGGTTCGAGATCGATGGTGCGGCTTCTGCTGCGAAATGCGGCGGACGCTTCTCAGGAGGATGCCAAAGGTCGCGGTCCCATCGAAAGGTGCTTCATAGATTCTTCGATCGGTCCGGTAATCTCTTTGCTGCGAGCCGGTGCTACAGTGCGACCTTACACGGAGAACTTTCATCTGCTTCATCAAGCCGCTGAAAGAGGCAGCCTGAACTGGGTGACGTGTTTGGTGCGGGCGCGAGCTAGCCCCCAGGCTCGTGACGAACTCGGGCATCTTCCCCTCGACGTGGCACTGCGCTTGTCCGGTTTCGAGCGTCGGGTTCAATTCAGAAGACGTCTTCGCGGGTTTGGGGCCAGAAGAAGACCTGCCGGCCGCCGCGAAGAGTAGCACCGCGCCGTCTTGCGAAAGGGCGGGCCGAGGCCGGAAGAGCGCCGCTGACACGCAGATGTAGCATGGCCGCGGAACCGCATGGACGCTGTCTTGCGAAAGTGCGGGGCTGCGGCCACCTTATGGCCGAGGCGGCGTGGGATGGCGGCCGCGGAACCGCGTGGACGCTGTCTTGCGAAAGCGCGGGGCTGCGGCCACCTCATCATGGCCCAGGCGGTGAGTTGTGACAGGCTTGGCGGCGCTTCTGTCAAAATCCCGCCACTTCCGATGCCGTAACTTGCTATGCGAAACCTGACTTTCGATTGGGGGTCTGGAGGCTGTTCGAGCTTTAGATGGTGGCTTGGAGGGCTTTCGAGCAAAACCTTGCACTTGTCATTGTCGCTGCTGCTGCTGCTGCTTAGGCTGCTTCGACTCGCACGACGAGAATTACCGGTCTTGTCCTCAGCAAGACGATCGCTCTGATGAGGGTTGCATCCGATGCGCTTTCAGTTTCGCTGCATGCAGTATTTTGGATGCTTTTTGTGTGTGCCGCGTAGCTCGGGCTCGATTGCTGTGGTGGCGCTGGCCTTTGCGGTGACGCCGGGTGGACGCTGTCTTGCGAAAGCTCGGTGTGCCGCTGGGCTATGGCGGCCAGGTCCTTGCCCTCGAATGCCTACTTGCTCGAAGCAGATCTGCGAGCTACCGAAGGGTGGAACAGCAGAAAGCCTTTGATCAGATGGCAGACGGGCACAGCCAAGCTTGCCTTCCGGGTGCCTGGGAGCCCTGATACCATCGCCATCGAGGAAAGGATCGACCGTCTTGGTTGCGGGACTCTCAACGTGGCTTTCAGCTTGGAGAACTGGAGGTTGGCGGTGAAGATCGTGCCCCGTGCGGGCATGAACAAAAGTGGCTGGATGACGACAAACGATCCGCTGCGGGAGCTGAAGCAGTACGTGAAGGCGTTCCAAAATGCCGCAGTGCGTCCGTACTTGCTCCGGTATTACGGAGGCCTGTATCTGTGGGGCGACAGGGACTTCACTCTGGCATCCTCTGAGGTCGACGAGGAGTCGACGGTCGCAGCCGCCGTCATGGTCTGCGATCGCGCGGAGTTCTCTATGGCGACGGCACTGCTGCAGCTTTGGCAACAGCCCATGACGGACCAGTTGCGCGAGCAGCACCTGCGACTGTGGACATCCGCGCTAGCCATGATCGGTACATTCTTCGAGAACGGGTGGGTGCTCTGGGATGCGCAACCTGAAAACTACGGCGTGGACGAGGCAGGCTACGAGCGGATGCGGTTCTTGAGGGTCGCGACCATCCAGGAGAAAAGCTGTGATCCCAATCACGCTGAAGGCCAGCTGCTGTACAAGATCATGAAGCGCTTTTGCGGGGCAACAGTCGATTTGCTGACAAGGGGAGGCAGTCATCCAACGTGGCAGACATGGCTGCAGCCGCTTTTCCAAACCATGTGTCGACGGTACTTCGGTCAAGAAGCTGTACCTTTGTGGGGTGAACAACTGTATTGGTCGAGGACAGGCGTTTGCTGGACATTAAATCCTTAATAAGCCGGAAGTCTGAACCCTGAACCATACGTGGCGTGTGGATGTGTCCGTGTGTTACACTCGCAATAATTTGCAGGATCGACGAAGCGTGCATGCGTGCACTTGCAGAGCACATGTTCAGGCTTCTCGGCAGAAAGAGTTGGCTGCCGCGCAAATATAGGATGCCCTTTTCTACTGCACGGACGCTGTCTTGCAAAAGTGCGGGCTGAGGCCGGAATAGCGCCGCCGACACGCAGATGTAGCATGGCCGCGGAACCGCATGGACGCTGTCTTGCGAAAGTGCGAGGCTGCGGCCACCTCATCATGGCCCAGGCGGCGTGGGATGGCGGCCGCGGAACCGCGTGGACGCTGTCTTGCGAAAGCGCGGGGCTGCGGTCACCTCATCATGGCCCAGGCGGTGAGTTGTGACAGGCTTGGCGGCGCTCCTGTCAAAATCCTGCCAGAGCCGGTTCGAGCTTTAGATGGTGAGTTGGAGGGCCGCCTTCGAGCAAAACCTTGCACTTGTCATTGCTGCTAGTGCTTAGGCTGCTTCGATTCGCAGCACGAGAACTACCGGTCTTGTCCTCAGTAAGACGATCGCTTTGATGAGGGTTGCATTCGATGCGCTTTCAATTTCGCTGCATGCGGTCCTTTGCATGCTTTTTTGTGCGTGCCGCGTAGCTCGGGCTCGATTCCTGTGGTCGCGCTGGCCTTCGCGGTGACCCCCAGTGGACGCTGTCTTGCAAAAGCTGGGTGTGCCGCTGGGCTGCTGCGTAGCTCGGGCTCGATTTCTGTGGTGGCGCTAGTCTTCGCGGTGCCGCCGGGTTGACGCTGTCTTGCGAAAGCTCGGTGTGCCGCTGGGCTATGGCGGCCCGCTCCTTGCCCTCGAATGCCTATTTGTTCAAAGCAGAGCTGCAAGCAGAACTGGACAGGTACGGCAGGAAAAGCGGAATGATCAAATGGCGGACAGGCAGAGCCAAGCTCGAGTTCCGCGTGCCCGGCGGCGATGCCATCTTCATCGACGAAATGCTCTACCGTCTGGGTACCGGAGCTTACAAGGTGGTCTACGGCTTGGAGACCTGGAAGTTGGCGGTGAAGATCGTGCCCAATGCGGGCATGAACAGAAATGACTGGATGGGGAAAAACGATCCGCTGCGCAGCTGAAAATGTACACGGCTGCGTACGAGAGGAGTGGCAAAGTACGACCGTGCATGCCCCATTACTACGGAGGCGTGCACCTGTGGGGCGACTGTGACTGGTCTATGGCAGGGAGTCAAGACGATCCCAGGGCCAGGGACTCGAAGGTCGCAGGCGCCGTCATGGTCTGCGATCGCGTTGGGCTTTCTATGGAGACGGCACTGTTGCAGCTTTGGCAGCTGCCCATGACGGATCGGTTGCTTGAGGAGCACCTGAAACTGTGGACATCCGCGCTCGTCATGTTCGGCACATTCTTCGAGAACGGGTGGATCCTCTGGGATGCCAAACCTGACAACTACGGCATGGACGAGGGAAACTACGAGCGGTTGCAGTTCTTGGACCTCGCGGCCATAGACGACAGAGGTGAAGAAACGACCCGCGAAGATGGCCAGCTGCTGTACAGGATCATGCAGCGCTTTTGCAAGGCAACAGTCGACTTGCTGGGAGCGGGAGGCACTCATGAAACGTGGCGGGAATGGCTGGTGCCGCTTTTCAAGAACATGTGTCCCCGGTACTTGGGCCAAGCTGCTGAATTGTTTTGGGGTCGACAACTGTATTGGGCGAGGACAGGTTCTCTCTGGACATGAAACTCATAAATGTGTCTGCGTGTGTGTGTGTGTGTGTCACTGTGTGTTGCACTCGCAGTTTGCAGGATCGACGAAAAGATAATGCGTGCATTTGCAGAGCACATGTTCAGGCTTCTCGGCAGAAAGAGCTGGCTGCTCGTGCTCGTTGCTTTGCGGTTGATCGTATGTCCTGATCGCGAGGATTTCGACGTCTCCCGCATCTTCGTTTGCCGACAGGTGTTCTGGGGATTGTGGCTGGAAACAGGAGCTAGTGCACAAGACCTCACGGCCAGGAGCCAGCCGACGGGGGAGTCCGAGCCTGCGAAGAAGTCCGGGCCTCAAGTCACGACGGTGGCGGTCGGCGTCTCCTTGTTGGATTCCGAGCTTAGGCCAAGCAAAAGAAATCTGACGGCCAGGAACGAGCCGTGGAAGGAGTCGGAGCCTGCCAAGAAGTCCGGACCTCAAGTCGAGACGATGGCGGCCAGTCTTTGGGTCCTGCCAGCAACCCAGCAGAGGACCCTGCACGGATCCTCGTGCTTGCTTTTCATGTGTGTGCAACGAAAGAAATCCGACGGCCAGGAACGAGCCGTCGAAGGAGTCGGAGCCTGCCGAGAAGTCCGGACCTCAGGTCACGACGATGGCGGCCGGTGGTTGGCTCCCGCCAGCAACTGTGCAGACGACCCTGCATGCATCCTCGTGCTTGCTTTTCACGTGTGTGCAACGGCGTTCCCGCCCGCGACCCAAGGTGCGTGAAGGCCAGGAACGAGCCGTGGAAAGAGTCGCCGCGGGAAGAGTCGGAGCCTGCCAAGAAGTCCGGACCTCAGGCCACGACGATGGCGGCCAGTGGTTGGCTCCTGCCAGCAACTGTGCAGAGGACCCTGCATGCGTCCTCGTGCTTGCTTTTCACGGGTGTGCAACGGGGCTCCTGCCCGCGACCCAAGGTGCGTGAAGGCCAGGAACGAGCCGTGGAAAGAGTCGCCGCGGGAAGAGTCGGAGCCTGCCGAGAAGTCCGGTTCTCGAGTCACGAGGCGGGCCTCGGGTCGTGGCACTGGCGCTGTCTCGTCGACGGCTAACAAATCCGACGGTCAGGAATGAACCGCCTACTGAAGAGTCGGAGTGTGCCAAGATGTCCGGACCTTGGCAACTCAAAGGTGCGGTGTCTTGCTGGCCGCTGAGCTCAGGCAACGCATGGATGCATCGCGAGATTTAAGCGAATGGGGACCCACCGTGTGCGAGGGGTTGCTTGGTCGCAGTGCACTGGTGGTGTTCCAGGTGCTGCCCAAGGAAGAAGGCGATACTGCGATAGAGCTCTTGTGCACCGTGAAGGAGAAGGACGTCGAGGTGATTGAATCGGTTCAACACGTGCAAGCGCACGTTTTGGCGGCGACACCACGGGATGTCTCTCACATGATTGAGGGCGAGCGCGAGCCCGGGCTTCTTCGGGTTGAGCTTGTCTGCAGTACCGCATGGACGCCCACCGACAAATATGCGGAGCGTCACAGAGTGCGTCAGTGCATGCATGTCAACGCTTCCCTCGCGCGGGTCTACTGGGATCAAATGAATCGGGACAGCTGGCCCAAGTCTTTGCAGGACTGGCACGAGATTGTGGTTGGCAAGACTCAAAAGCGTGCAGAGGCACCTAAGTTGACGTTGGAAACCCTGGAGAAGGCGATGAAGGACGTGACCGTCGTCGCTGACCAGAGGGGCTTTTACAACAAGCCTATCCATGATCTAGACACACATGAACGGGTCAATCGAAAGACGACTAAACTGGACAAAAAGCCCCTCACGCGAGAAGAGCGCGAAGCCGAAGGGAGCACTTATGGCGACCAGCAACCGAACAAGAGGATGCGAGACATTCCCAGCTACCGGCACAAGCCATTGACGGTCGCTTTGCTGCGTATGAAAGTGTTCGAAGCTGTACATTACTTTGTTCGTTTTGTTTTCCTCGCTCGTGTGTCTTCTGCATTGGTTTGATCCGCGGAAGGCATTGCTGCAGAACCTGCACCAACTTCTGCCGCTGGAGCGCTGCAACGAGCGAGGGCAGCGACCGGCCGGATGCAGGGAGCGGCCGGCGAGAACGAAGCCGCGAAAGCAATCCAGGAAAACCGATCGAGGCATGTTCAAGTTTGCCCAGCATAGCATGGTTATCCAGCTGAACGACTTCATCGAGGAGAAGTGCTTTGTACAGCCGACAGCTGCTGCAGAGGAGCAGGACTTTGGCTTTGTGCCGGCCGAGCTGCACAATGTGGCCAGGGGCCTTGTTGCTTTCCTGAGGGTCAGAGCGTGCTCTTACGATAACATCTCGCATGACAAGAAGACGGAGCATTGGAGCCATTGCTTGGAGTGGTGGGGTTTTTGGATGTCGGACGAGGAAATCCAAGCCGTGGCTGCACAAGCGACGTCCCTTGCATTTACGCACATGCGCTATCTGAGTGCCTACGTGCGTTTGCATAGAGCAACGTTTGCGCAGGAAAGTGTTGCCGCTGCCTCGCAGATGTAGGCTGGCCGCGGAACCGCATGGACGCTGTCTTGCGAAAGTGCGGGGCTTCGGCCACCACGTGGCTTAGACAGCGGCTTGGACGAGGCAGTACTTGGATGTGGCGGCCGTGGAGGAACGCTCGCTGAGCTTCGCGTAGGATGGCCGCGGCATCGCATGGACGCTGTCTTGCGAAAGTGCGGGGCTGGGGCCATTCATTCCCGAGGCGCTGATCTTTTGCGGTGGTGCTTGCGCTTCTGCCAAAACAAAATGATTTCATTCACTTCAAATGCCACAACGCACTTGCCGAACTTTGCTCTCATCGGGGTCCGGGTCCAGATTCAGATCGTGGTTTGCAGGGCTTGGCATGGCTGCTGTTGCTGCTTAGGCTGTCTCGACTCGCACCGCGAGGTCTATCGGTCTTGTCCTCAGCAAGAGAATCGCTCTGAAGGGGGGGTGGCATTGAAGTCGGTTGGCTTGCCGATGTTCTCCGCTCCGAGGTTGCTTCCAGTTCTGCTGTTTTCGTTACCTAGCCTGGGCTCGATTTGCATTTCCCTTTTGCTGGTCTCCGCGGCATCGCCGAGTGGATGCTGTCTTGCGAAAGCTCGGGGTGCTGCTGGGCCGTGGAACTCCCAGCGATGGAGGCTGCCGAGACGACTTCTCTGGGTGGCGGAGATCGGGCATTGCTGCTTCCTTGCGAAGGAGGCCGGCCATTGCAAAACGTCGAGCTGCTGCAGAGAACCTTGTCTGCTCTGCTGCAACAGTCTCTTGTCCAGTCAAACGAAGAGCTTACCGATCTCGTTTACAGGGCTTGCTTCTTTCACAACAAGCTCAAGGGCAGCCTGGCATCGAATCATGAAAGCAAGCCTATCACGGCCTCTCAGGAGCCGGGAGGAGTTTATGAGCGCAACTTTCTGGGGGAAGTTCGAGAAGTGTTGAACTGTCTCGTCGAGCATCACGAGCGACTGAGCTTGGATGTGCTGTTCGCCGAGATATGTCGCGCGGACAAGCTTTTGCGAGAAGTGTTAAAGAACGGGCTTCACTAAGCTTCCTACTCTCAAACTGAAGCGGTCACTTTTCCTTGTGGGTCACTGTGTCCGCTGGTCTCGAGCCTTGCACGTCGCGTGTGCGTGACGGCTGTTCCTGTACATTAACTGCACTGCACTAACTGTGTTACTGTTCCTGGCAAGATGTTTAACACCCCGCCTTCGGAGTTAGCGAAAGTTCCTCGACTGAGGTGACTCCGACTTTTCCTGTCAACAGTAAACACACTGCAGTTCCTTTTCACTTGCAAAACAAACACTCTGCCTCATCGCAAACATATGTTCCTATGTTCACTCGCAATCCTCTCCAAGGTTGCTCGACTGTACAAAAGACGTTCCTTTACTATACTTAGATCACCACAGAAACAAAAGGGCTGTGCCACGGTTCCTGTGTCCTGCTGCTTCTTTCCTCGGCTCTCTGGCCTCAGTACTGCTCGCTGTTCCTTTGCTTCACTGGAAGGTCACTTCGCCGTCGTCGACCTTGTAGACTTTTACTCCTTCTTCTTCGTTGCTGACTTCTTTCTGTTCCTTGAGTTCTTGCTCTAGCCACTCTGCACGCTGCCTTGCTTGTGCTATGCACTTCTCTTTTCCTTGCTTGTCTCTTGATCCTGCTTTCCAACCTGTTTCCTTTGATCCGGAATACCAGTACCACTGCGTCTTGGCTTCGTTCCACTTCCACTGGTAGTTCTTGTTCTGGAAACCGTAGACTGCAAACCAGTTTCCTTCAAGCTCTCCTTTTCCTTTTCCTTTCATGAACGATTCTTCGTTCACTGGTCCTTTGGCGGAAAGTTCTGGGTCGTCCTTTCCTCCTTTCCTTTGCTGCTGCTGTGTGACACTCGGTGGCTCCTTTCCTGTTCCTTGTGCTTCTGGCTTCTCCTCTTCCTTTGCTGGTGTTGTGTCTGGTTCCGTGGGTGCTTGCGACCCGGCTGCTGATCCTCTGCTCTCAAGCTCCTGTGTAAGGCTTGCAATTCTTTCTTTATCCTCTTTGCGTTCCTTCATCATCTCCTTCATCATTTCTTCAAGCTTCTGGATCCTGTCTGCTTCTCCTGATCCTGTTGCTGTTGATGCTGCTGCCTTCTTCTCTGCTTCCTTCTTGGCAATGTACGCTGACGATGCCTTTTGATCTTCCTCTCTCTTCTTCCTGGCTTCCTTCTCCTTTCTTTTCTTCTCCTGTTCCTTTCTTTCCTTTTCCTCTTCTTCTTTTGCTGCCGCTGCTTCGGTCTCCTCCTTTTCCTTTGCTTCTCTCTCTGCTTTTGCTTTGGCTGCTGCTTCTACCTCTCGCCTTCTCTCGGCGGCTGCGGCTGCTTCCTGTCTTGCTGCTTCCTTGTCTCTCTTCTCCTGCTCTTCTGCTGCCTCTTCCAAAATCCTTCTTGCTTTGGCAATCTGCTCCTCCTTTGCCTTCTTCTCCTCTTCTGCTTTGGCTTTTGCTTCCTTCTGCTCCTTTGAGATCTTGTCCTGTTCATCCCAATATTTGCGATCATCTTCATCTCGAGGTCGAAATCCTGTGCTTTCTGCTCTTGCCTTTGGCTTTCCTTTTCCTTTTCCTTCCTTCTTTCCTTTTGTTCCCTTCTCGTGCTTGTACGTGTAGTCCTTGTCGATGTGGATCTTTTCTCCTGTGACTCTGTGCTGCTTGTAGATCTCGCCGTTCTCGGAGTATTCCTTCCATTCGCTGCTGTAGTCGTAGGGGTACGGAAACTGCTTCTTTTCCTCTTCTTTCTCCTTTAGCCTTTGCTTGCTTTTGGCGTTGATCTCCGCGATCTTCTTCTTCCTTCTTTCTTCCTTTGCTTCCTCGCTTTCTTCTTCCTCTGCTGCTGCTGTTCCTTCTTCTGCTTTGGCTTCTTCGGGGTACTCCCCGGGATCTTCTCCTCCAACGTAGCTGTCCACGTAGGCCTCGTTCTCGTTCTCGCCGAAGTGGTCCTGGCTTTCTTCCTGTTCTTGGAGTCCTTCGAAGTAGCTCCTGTCTGACCAGTTCCTTATATCGTCTTCTCCTTTGTGTTCCTGGGAGGTAGGTGACGTAGCTCTCGAAGGTGCTGTTCCTTGTCCGTGTCCTTCACGACGTAGTTCACCTTCTAGTTCTCGGTCCTTGGCTTCTCTTTTCCTTTGTTCCTCTTCGTCTTCTTCTTCTTCTTGTTCCTCTTGCTGTTGCTCGTAGAAGTCCTGCATCATCTGGTTCAGCTGTTCCTTCACGGCATCACATGTACCTAGGACGAAGTTCATGTGTTCCTTGACCTGCTTCCGGTCTCTTTCGTTCTCTTCGGCCATTTCCTGAACCTGGTGCTTCACGCTGTAGATTTGGGATGTCAAACTTTCCACACATCCTGCAACGTGTTCCTGACTTTTGCGCAAACGCGCAGCTTCCTCTGTGTTCTTCCTGATCGACTCCGCGATCAAGTTCCTTTCTTCTGTAGCGGTCTTCAACGTGATTGCCGCTTCTTTCAAGGTCTGAAGTTCCTTGACGATCTCTTCTGAGCTTTTGCTTGAACTCGCGCTCGCTTCCATGGCTGCTGAGGTTCCTGGTAAGGTGCCTTGACCTGCTACTGGGCGTACTAGTTCCTGGATACCTGAGCGTTCCGCGAGTGTTCCGCAGAGTTCCTTGAGCTGCGAAAGCATCTCACTACATGTTGTTCCATGCGCTGTTCCTGCAAACGTTCCTAGCTCACATGCACTCGTGTCACTGCATATGCCGTCCTGCTCGCATGCACTTGCACAGCAGAAAACATGTTCCTGAAAGTCTGCCTGAAACTCTTCTTCTTGAACACAACTCTCAAAACACTGTTCCTTGAAACTCTGAATCTGAAGACTGTCCGAAATACCTGAAATTCCTGCAAACAACAAAGCTGCAAAAGACAAAGTTCCTGGGCTCTTGATCATCCTTACAACTGCTTTAGCTTGTGTTTGGGCCTTGTGTTCCTTGAGCTCTTCTCTACCTACTGGTTCGTTCTCGCTGGTCTGAAAACCTAGCCAGTGTAACAACAGTCTGATACGCTTCGCTGAAAGGGGCTTGGTTCCTATATCAGCTGTGTTTTCCTTGGTTCCTACTGGGTGAACACTAATTGTTCCTTCTTTGTGGAGGTCTTGAAGAAAAAGGGTCCTGATCTGCAAATGCTTGACTCTACCTACACCTTGCCTTGTAATAATTCCTCTAGCTGCAGAAGAATCCATATACAAGTGTACCTTGCATTGTTTCCTGGTCAAGAATTCCACTGCTTCCTTCAACAAGATAGAATCTGACGCTGCTGACGCTCCTGCGTAGTACTCTGCTTCACCACTGCTCAAGCTAACCGACTTCTGGTTCCTAGAAAAAGAGTAAATGCACTGACCGTCTAAGCAAACAATTCCTGAAGATGTTGAGCGCCTTGTGTCCTTCTTTCCTGCCCAATCTGAATCACTGAAGACTTCCAAAAGGTGGTGTTCCTTGGGCCTTGTTCCTGTAAAGTCGTAGTTACCATTCCTAATGGATTCATTGAGATTACTGAGTCCTCTGGGTGTCTTCCTGTACACTAGATGGTATCCTTCAGTTCTCGACATGTACTGCACTAGGTGGACTAAGTGCTTCCAAGAACCATGTGTTGGTTCCGACATCTTGGAGGCTAAACCTCTCACGGCAAACTGCACGTCAGGGCGGTCCTGACTGACATACAAGAGTATGCCAACGCTCTTCCTGAACGATGCTGCTTGTTCCTGGTTCAAGGTCTGAGTGTTGTCCTGTTCCTGCGACTCTTGGGTGCACGGAGTTGGCTTTGAGGCTTTGCTGGTAAGCTTCAGTTCTTCCTTAAGCTTCACAAGATACTTCGGGTCACTCGTGATGTGGAGCTCGTGATTGTGGTAGCTGAATTTCCTTTTAAGGAATCGGATTGTCTGGTGTGACTCTCCTACTTCAAGTTCCTGCTCTGTCAAGAAGGGGCCTTCAACCTTTAGCTCGTAGGTTTCTCCTAGCTTTCCTAGCTTGGGCTCTAGGTGCCTTGTTTTCCCTGCTGCCTG